ACTGCATGTTAGTAAATAGACATTTTGAGAAAAATGGAAGAGACAGGAGGTTTCACCAATTTTAATGAATACCTCAACTTGTTCGAGAAAATTTAAAGACCTGGAGGAATCACTGGAAATAATCAGTAAACCTCACACAGACTTCCATCTGTGGCTCACCGCTCCACTCATTAAAGACACCTCATCAAGACTTCCACAACACACTTAACTGCTTTAGACCTGCTTGGAGGTAAAATTAAAGTGACACTCCTCTGTTTTACATTTATTTAAGGGATTTAGGTTTTTACTTCTATATTATATATTGTAATGTGCTTCTCCTCTCTGCCTTAATGTCGTAAGAGACTCTCCAATTGGGCTGAAGCTGAGCATAAAGGAAACATTTTATGATCTGTAATGATAAACTTATGTTCTTACCCAGCCTTCCGGAGTCTGCTTTATATGCTCCTGTAAAATTCAGTTCTGAGAGAGGAGCTAAAGACACACCAGTCTAGACGCAAAGTGGGCAGTCTGATCTGTTTACTGACCGCAGGCAGAACTTTTCCCTACAAATCGACCCTTCTACATATAAGCTACTGATCATTTAATACACTATAGACTTCTGAAGCACAATGAAGTTAAGAGTGTCGTCGCTCAACATCTGTCTTTTCATCAATGATCATTTTTTTGATTATTTTCAGTCAGGAATTCACTGAAGTCATACATCACATTAGGTACTTAAAGAAAATCTGTATGGGTAGTTAACAAATATTGTATATCCATTAACTTTTTTTCAGAATCAAGATTTTAAAATATATGCAATGGGGCCAAAAAGTTTAGTCAAAACTATACTTTAAAAAGAAATTTAATTTACAGTAATTTGTTGTGTTTGCCATAGCAAATTATAGACCTGCATAACAATTTAAGTGAAAAAAACTGTCAATGTCACAAATTTGCTTATTTGTTAGTGACACTTACATAATTTTTTTCCAGGTTTAAATTTATGTGGCCTCAGGGAGCTCATTTGGCTCCCACTGTATATAGAAAATGTATAATATATTCTTCATTTTTATATACACAAATAATTTAGATTTTTTTTAAATGTGTTTGTAAGAAGTGTCTTATGCTCACCAACGCTGCATTTATTTGTAAAACAGTTATTTGTAAAATATTACTTATGAATTATTGAAATAATTACTATCCTTGTGGGAACTCCCCATAGGCATAATGGTTTTTATCCAAAACACAAACCTGTGTTTTGACAATGTTGCTTACCACTAGGAGGCAGCACACTCCAGACTAGTGTCTTGTGGTACATCTGAGCCACAAAGAGAAGCTGAAGGCAAGTACAGTCTCCTCTCCATTTGTCTGACATCTGGACTCCTGGCATCTCCCGATACCTCTCCAGGCCCTGATCTATGTCATCTCAGAGGATAGATCTCTGTATTAAGTCTTCTGTCTATTTGATTCCACTTTTCTTTTCACATTTCTAGCACTGATGAGCCTTCAGAACCACGGGGGGATGTTACTAGTGGGAATAAGAGGGGCTGCTTTGTGTTCACTTAATTACAGTCCTAACATTTCTTTCTCTAGATTGTTTCACGCAGGCATCCGTACCAGCTCCCATCCGAGGCTTCCCCCAGACCCCTCACTCGCGGTCCTGTTCAACAGAACATTCTCCAACAAAACCTCAAAGAAAAAAAGCATATCAGTCAGGTTGAGGGTGGACAGATTCTAACTTATGTGCCATATATACGTACAGG